TCTCGGTGCCAATTAGCAAATTGACACCCCATAGGGCGGCGCAGAGGATCTCCGAGTTGAAACGTTTCTTATACTTACGAATTTCGGGCGTATCATTGGCCGCCTCATGGGATGTGGGCGTGACATTGACATTGACCGTCGACTCACGACGCGTCGGCCCAGAGCCACCGGCACCAAAGCCAAAGGTGAGAAAACTACGTTGTTTCTGTTGCAGGGCGTACGCATGGGGTGGCAAGTGATTGGAGGCATTCGTTGCGGTTGTTGTTGATGTGGACGATGTTAGCGTTGAGTTGGGTGTCAGGTGTAGAATGTTCGCAGAGGAGGAAGAAGCAGATTTATGCAATAAATTAGTAATACTGCTGGAAGAACGCGTTTTACTAATCGAATTCTTTGGCGAATTTTGTCGCGAATTCGATTTGGATGAGGCCAGCGAGATGGTCGATTGTGGTGAGTTATTAGCGCTAATAACTACACCACCGACAACGCTGCCGCCGCCATGGCCATGGCCGCCAACGCCGACGTTGACGTTGGCAGCGCTGCTGTTGACGACGCAGCCGGAGCCGCTGCCGCTGCCGACGCCGCTGCTAGCGATAAACGATTTCGATGGCGTGGAATGCACGGATGAGCTAATGGCCGCTTGATACTTTATTTGATTGATAGTTCGATTGATTGATTGATTGATTGATTTATTCATTTGTTTTCGTTTCGTTCGTTCGGTTTTGGTTTTTAAAAAGAAAAGAAAATAGAAAAAGTGCAAGAAAAAAATTTCAATTAGTCTTCGAGTTGTCAACAAATTAAAATTAATTAATTAAACATGCTGAGGGGGTGGATTGGGATGGTTCGTGTATGTTTGTGTTTGTGTGTGGGATGGTTAAATATTGAGCAACAATTAAAATTACAATAAACAATAGCCAAAAATATTTATAAATATTTGCATTAATGTAAACAGAGCTGAGAGAGAATTGTTAACAAAAATAAAATGTGTTTAGTCTTTCCCCAAAGGCCAATCGTAAATAAAAACTTTATAAACAATAGTTTATATATTGATTTATAAGTTTGTGCGTGTGTATGTGTATCTGTGTGTATACATATGTCTGTGTGTGTGTGTGTGTGTGTGTGTGTGTGTGTGTGTGTGTGTGTGTGTGTAGAAAAACAATAAGAATGTTGAGCAGCGCTCTCTGTAATGTGTCTGTAATGTACACAGAGCGATAACAGCGAGACGACAAAACGAAATGTTAGTTACAGTGACAGTGACATTAGGCTGCCTGCTATGAAATGTAGAACAGTGAGAGAGTGACAGAGACAGAGAGATTGCGATCACAGTGGAGCGCAACAAATGAAAACAATCAGAAATATGTATTTGGATATATACAAAGTCAGGAAAACTTAAAATAGCATTCGTGGTGCGAAAAATTATATATATAGAAACAAAGAAGCCCTGCACTATTTATATATTATATACAATATCATATGAGACATTTGGAAATAATAATAATTAAAACTTTACACAAATGTTTGGTAGTTGGAAATAATTTTTTTTTTTTTGTTTTGTAGATTTTTAGGCAGAGTATTTTTTGTCGGTATATTTTGAAAACTATTGCTGTTGTTTTTTGTTTATCATACTTACTATTGTAAATTTTTGGTTTGTTTGTAATTGATTTGTATTTTGTAATTTGTTAGAATATATCGTAGTGGCCATCAGCTCAAACGTTGCGGAAAGACAAAGCACAATTAAGAAGAAGAAAGTTTTTTGTAACGTTTTTTTTTTTAAGTTTGGTTATAATTAAATAAATTTTTCTTTTTTTAAATGATTTAATTAAGAGGACATGCATTTGTAAAAATTGCGATTTCCATGCACATATTTTAGTTTGACAATATTTGAATTTTCTTTCGGAATTCGATAAATTTGTAAAAACTATTTATTTGGTTTTACGCGCTCTTCATAATGAACTTTGTTCCGCGTCAAAGAAACTTGTTTAAATGCTAAGATATTCTTATTGGATTAGTCACATTTTAAGTGTTAGATCATATTGAAATGGGTCAGCAGTAGTAGAAACGAATAAAACATATATAAAAAAATATTCAGAAGAAAAACAATATAATTTTACACTTCAAATAAATTTTCCTTAATTGAAATCAAACTAAACTAAACTTTAATCCATTTAAACTAGGACTTCAGTTAACAGAATGCTGTGTGCGTTGTCTGTTGCGCACACAGAATGATAAAGGATTAGGACGATTTCTGTTACATTGACAGCTGTTAAGTGCTTAAGATACGATTTCTGTTCGATTAACAGAATGTTAAGTGCTTGATAAGCGAATATGTAATTGAATTCATGATTTCAATCAAGTTGATTGAACGGATAAATAAAACCCATAAAGTAATTTATGATATAGACGATGAATGACGCGAACTGCATTTGATCTTTCGATATTGTAAAAAAAAAAAAAATAATAATAATAAAAACACAGAAAAAAAATAATATTAAAAAAAAGTTGAACGCACAAAACACACAATGAAAAAATCGAATCGCTCGATATATATGTATATGGCTGTTAATGGTAATGTATTGGCGCTACTCACCTCCTCACTGGATGATTTATCGTGGCGCGGAGGCGTGGCCGGTGACGCCTGGCTAAGCAGATCGGGCAGAACGCTGCTGGTGCGTGTGCCGGGGGTGCCGAGGCCGCTGTTATCTCCTCCAGCTCCACTGCCAGCTACTCCACGGTTCTATTTAAGCGAGACAGAGAAAAAGAGAAGAATGTGTAAAAGTGAGAGCGAGTTGGCAGTAAGATATGAGAAAAGTTTGCAATCAAAAGTTTTGTTTTATTTTTATGAAGTTCATAAATTTGTTGAAATCGAAACGGAATAAAAAAAAACGAGTAAATGAATGTTATATAAATGCTTTGAAAAATGTAACACAAAATAAAGAAGGGTAAACGGTAATGAATAAACAACAAATTGAAAGAGTAAAGGACTAAGAGTAACAGATAAAGAGAGAGAGAGAGACAGAGTCAGATAGATAGAGAGAGAGAGAGAGAGAAAGCTAAATGAATGCCAATGAGATACTTAGGTATACTAAGAGATGCCTACAATGTCTTTTCGTTTAATAACTTTTTCAACACAATTTAAAAAAAGCTTACGAACTAAAACATTTAGTTTCTAAAACTGGAAGTTGTGTTGTACATATACATAAGGCACTTAAAATTAATTAAAGTTTTTTGGTTTCTTGTTCATCTTTTGCAGCAGGCAAAACGTCACTCAATTTTGCAAAACATCAGAGAAAATTTGTGGTTTTGCTTTTCTTTCTTTCTTTTTTTTTAGAATTTTGATCAAAAACTTTTCATTGAAGCCTAACCAAACCAAGAAAACTTTTTGAAAATCAAATTAAAACATTTTCTGTAAGCTTTAACAAACAAAATTCGCTAGGCAAATAAAATGAACGAAAGCAAGAGCTAAAGCGGCAAAATGTAGAAAATAGAGAAATATTAAGGCTTTTCTAAAAATGGATAAGTCTACATATATAATTTATTACATAAACTTTATGTACAGTTTATCTATAATTCCTTACAAAATCAGAAATTAAATCATTATTTTCTATAAGAAATTATTTAAAATAAAATAATAATAAAATTTTCTATTCAAAGATTCATATCAGTTTAGCCTCGACTACTTCTGTTTAGGGTGATCTCCTGTCTAAAAATTCTGCTCTATTTTAGCTCTTAACTACTTTATCTAACCTAAGAACGTACGCAGCTTATGTACTTTCACATGCTGCTTTCAAAAATGTGCCAAAAACTTGAAAGGTATATATTTATACTATATATAATAAAAACCATGAGATGAAATTATTTACAGGTTTCAGATAGGAAAAGCTTAAGACTTAAGCTAGCAAAATGTTTGTTGTTTTTTTTTTAGCATCTCATTAGCATTCGAACTTATGATTTTTTGTTTTTGTTTTTTTTTTTTTTTTATGGGTATAATAAAATTATATACATATACGATGGCTTGTTTACCGTTATTAATACTTAAATTCGGTGTCCCAATTACAAATACCAAATGCTTTTGTTTTATTATGCATATTTATCAAGATTTTATGTTATTCAAGCATTTCAGAATTCTGGAGCCATAGACAAGTTTTATGTTATATACAAGTTGCTGTTAATGTTATGTGTGTGTTCCCAATTAGAATAAGTTGGTATCTCTGATAAGCAATCAAAAACCAAATGCAAATGAAAAAAAAAAAAAACTTAAAAAACATGCTTGGCAAGGTCAAAAGCAGTTAAGAAATACATACATACAAAATCAGAAAACAGCAAACATAAATTTACATAGATAAATCAAAATAAATCAAAGCGAAATGTTTTATGTTAACACTGTTTTTGCTGTCTTCTTCTGTTGTTATGCGTAGTCAGCGCTTATTTACGAGCTGTTAGTGCAATGTTATTAACAGGAGCTGCAAGGGCAATGGCAATGGCAATGGTAGTTGAGAGAGCGAGCAAMAGATAGATGTAGTGGGTGAGACAGAGCGAGTAGAGAGCGAGCGATGCGAATGTATGTATGTGTGTTGTGTTTTTGATGTTCTTGCGGTGAGTATCAAAATTCTAGCCAAATGGTCAATTTTTTTACGCTTTGTACTTTTTTTTTGGTTTTGTTTTAAGTAGTTTGGTTTGGTTTACGTTTCTGGCGCCAAGACAAAACACAATAATGAACGATATTTAAATAGTTTTTTTTTCTTTTCAGCTTCTGCTTTGTTCTTTTGATTGGCTGTTTTTTGATGCGTGCGAACTGAGAACGTTTACCTGCTGCGGCTGCGGCTGCTGCTGCTGTAGCTGTTGCTGTTGTTGCTGCGTTTGTTGCTGTTGTTGCTGGCGCTGCTGCGCACGCTGTGCAGCATTTTGCAACACAATGACAGACTCAGTCTTTTCGCGACGCGGACGGAGAAAATCTAAATTAGCCCAACTGGATTTAGCGGGCGCCGCTGCTGCTGGAGCTGCTTGCTTTGTGGCTGTCGCTTTGGTCTTATCCGTTGCAACGGCAGCGCTGTTCTCCTTGCTGCYGCTGCCGCTGCTGCTGCTGTTGTAAATGCTGTTCCTTTGGTACATGGCACTGGCGCGCACCGGCTGCGACGGCAGCTGTGCATTGGTGCCGCTCTTGATGCTGGCAGCGCTGCCGCTGAACACTGCCGAATGTCGCTTAGCTAACGGGAAAAAGTCTGAGTTCTCGCGTCGAAAGCCGCGCACAAAGCTCGGCAGCTTCGAGTCGGATTCCTGACGTTTGTGCTGTGGCTGCTGCTGCTGCAGCTGCTGTGCCGATGACTGAGGCTGAGGCTGCTGCTGCTGCTGTGTTAAGTTGTTGTTGCTGCTGTTAAGCTCTTTGGCAATGTTAACGCCAGCTGAGGAGCTGGCGCCCTTTAACGGCTGATAGCCTTTCGGCACGGGTCGGGCTATGGCCTCGGCGACGCTGGCGCGCTGCAGTTTTGCCTCCACCTTAAGCGTGCTCAAATTCGAGCTGCGACTGAGGCTGGCCGTGGTGCTGCTGCTGCCGCTGCTGCTGCTGGCAGCGCCGCTAGCAGCATTCGGTTTTTTGGGAAAGAAGCGATCGAAGTCCCACTCGCGCAGAAGCTTTACGTCTTCGGCTCGCCTCGGCGCATGCGAAGTGGAAGCGGATTTTTGTAAGCGATTTACGTTTTGTTCTAGTTTCTGTTTACAGTTGTTTAACATGTTGTGGTTGTTGTAGTTGTTGTTGTGAGTATCAGCGCAAGAGAAGAATTGTTGTTAGGTTTTTGTTTGTTTTGGTTTTGTTCACTTGCATTTTACATTTCTACATTCTAAGTTGTTGTTTTTTTTTTGTTTTTTTTTTTTTTGGCTATCTACACCCAGGTATGAAAAAAAACCGCATGGAAAGTTTTTCATGAATTCTCTCATTGCATTGCATTCCATATTTATGTTATGTACGTACGAATGACATGATTTGGGGCTTGTTGCTTGTAGGTGCAAAGGTGTGTTTACATACGTTTCATAATCATATCAAGTGCCGCATGATGTAAAACCCCGCGGAAATCGTTTTATATCGGTTGCCATTTATATCAAATATTTATATATATATATTCAAAGTATATGTATGTGTGAAATATGCCTTACAGCTGGAAAACTATGTTAGAGAAACTATCAAGCAAATCAATTTTCGATCTCTCAGATAACAGAGGCCTATCGATTTGTTATTAAATTATTGACTGTTATCGATCAATCATGTAATCGAATAATTATGAGTTATTCGTTAATAGCAGCAATGAGCGATTATCGATTATCAACAAATTTCTGTCGATAAATCATAGATATATCAGCTACATAATGTTAAATCACCTTAATATAGCTAAAATTCTCGACAAATCATGCATAAATCGATAAGCTATCGATTATTTTGAAACTTAATTTGATTATAATAGTAATGAAACATTAATTTTTAGACCCAATTCTTGTCGTTCTTTAAATGAACAACCATAAAACTCGTTCATAATCGTTTAGTTTTCCAGCTCTTAAAGGTGTGAATTGTGCCCGTGTAAACATTCTGAGCACCTGTGCATTTCACTTTTTACGAAAATAATAAAATACAAAAAAGAAAATATGGAACATTCAAAATTCGTTTGAAATTATGATGACTAATAAAATGATATATAGTTGTTGTGGAACATAAAAACTTTGTACAAAAGAAATTCACGAAAAAAGTTTCATACCATGTGTGTTTTTTTTTTGTTTACGTAATATACTAATTAAAATAGATAAATATGTATTTAGTATTAGAAATAAGTAAGTTATAATATATATTT